ATGAATGAGTGCGTCTCCTGCGCGTCCTGCACACATCTGCATTGTGGTCCACGCAGCGGGCATCCATCCATAGCTGTGTGGCATCCATCTCAATTATGGCTTTTCTTGTGCATTTTATTTATTTAGCTGTTGCTAGCGTCCCGAGAGGCTCTACAGTCATCGGGAAGGGACGGCATCCTCATTTTTCACACTTGATTCGGCTCTCGTGCCAGAGTTACCCAGTCCCAGCAGCTCTGAGAGAATCTCCTCTTTCTCTGTAAGTGTGATATTCTGTTCCTTTTCCTGAGCTCCTCTCCAGACGTCCCCGGTGACTGCGGCCGTTGAGCCCTGGCAGTCTTCATTCCTTAGGCCGCGTCGAGCCCCCCACTCCCCCAGCTACAGGAGCTCACCTTGGTTCTGTCCCCAGCTGTCCAGAAAAAAGGCGTAAAAACGCTTGTGCAGGTCTAGTAGGGATCACAGCCACGCCATTCGTTTTGCAGTCTATTGATTAGAGATGCTGGGTCATCTGCAAAGGATTTGCATGAATGAGATCCGCCTGGCAGGAGATGCACCTCTGGCCTTTCCGAGAGGGTAGCTGGACCCCGTGTCCCGCTCTGCACAGCGTGCGCCTCTGAGCTGCTCCGGTCCAGCGGGAGGCCGGGCCGACCCCCAGCGGCTGCCTGATGGAGTCTCGACATGAGTCAGAGCCGTTTGCAATGGGGTTTATGCCAGACGGCCAGCATCTCCCCCGGTGGTGGGACTGTGTGCAGGGCCTCAGACGCACGGAGCTGCCGGCTGTGTAAATGGGGCCTAGTGGCTGCGGGAGCACCTGTGAACGGCTTCTCTCTTCCCTGTGCATTGTGGGTGAGCGATTCCTGGAGAGGGTCCCTTGGGTGTTTATCGACACCAAGAATGCAAAGAACATACTTTTGTTCTTGGCAATAGCAGTCTTGTTAACTTGCCTCCCAAGAACGAACTCGGGATGCACAGAATCATGGGATTGTTTTCGTTGGCAAGGATGCTACTGATGCATTGATGCATGAACCTGGGCAAGAACAACATCTGGGGATTTTTACTATCCATTGTGCTGCTGTTCTTGAGTATTAGAACTGTAGTTCACACTGTCCAAATAAAGGCTACAACCCTGGTAAACTTTTGTTCCCCATGCTACAACCAATATTAGTGTACCCCCATTAGTACAAAAATGTTCCCCAGAGTCCATTTCTGTACCTTAAATTAGACTAAAAGGTACATTTACCTGCAGTTAGGGTACAACTGGCAGACCCTTGAGGGTACAGCCCCAGCGCCATGTAATTGTACCCTCAAAGGTACCCTCAGGTAGTGCGCCAATGGATGATGATGTCAAACGGGTTAGCAAAGACACAAGAACAGTCCGTATTATTGATAAACACCCCATGCCTTGTAAGTCTTATTGCCCAGCCTGCTTTTTATAGGGGGTGTGAGGCTAAGGAACGAATGTGGAATATCTCTGGAATAGACTTTTTTTCAGGTGCGTAAATTTAGAAGCTTTCGATATCTCAAGATCAAAAGGCAATTGCAGGGCCGCAATACTGGCAATTTTTATACATATTTTACAAAAGAGTATCACCCTCTGCTTCTCCCAGTGCTTAATAATGTTTAATAGTATATCAGAACATTTATTAGCCTTCCTACCCCCATTTATACAAGACTCATGGTCGTCCTGTTTCAAAAACATGGTTAAAATGGCTTTCTTTGAATCAGAAAGTAAATCGCATCATTCTGTGACTATTTTCAGACCAGAGAGAGACTTTCTTCTTCCACTTTTACGTTTTTACTGGGATATGTCATACTGGCTCACATCAGAGAATCAGATCCATGATTTGTTGTGTTTTGAGAACTGCCCAGAGCTGATTACTCTACAGTGAATCTTGTGGACAGCACTAGCCAATGGGTGTAAAGCATATGGAGAAAAACAGGAATGCACATTTACAAAAGGTGTTTAATTACCTCCAACCACCGGAATGGTCAAGCATTTGTGTTTTTTGGAAGGAGACCATAGGTGTTTTGTCGCTCTGCTTGTTTTCTACTCTGCGACACTACATCCAAGGTGACAAATCAATGTCCGCTTCAGTGGCTGCAGGAATTCCGAACACTAGGCCGGGGGAATCTGCTTTGGAGAGCCGAAATCACATGGAGCTGTTAAAGTCACCCCCCCCACATCACCCTCCTTTTCCAGGCATCTCGGGTATATTGCTCTGTGTGACGAATGTAAGCTCTGAGGCTATCAGTCTGTGAAGCAGTTGTGCGGATGTGTTACCTGCACTGTCAGTGATGTCGGCATGGTATTTCAGGAAGCTGTCTGCTGGTAATTGGCTTGTAGACTCTGGCCTGAGGCTCATTTTGGGCTGAATGTGCAGTGAGGACTCCACCCTCCGGGATTCTGATGGGCCTCTTGAAGTCCTCGGCTTCACCGAGTCTTCCTGCCTCGCGTGGGGATACTTTTGTTTTTGGGTTAGCTCTCCTTGCGCAGCTCACATTTATTAGGCCGGAGCAACTAAAAGAAGCAGCTTGTCTACAGTGTCCCTATGAAAAAAAAGTTAATGAACATTTCAAAATCCCTAAGAAGGTAAATGGGTTTTATTGCTGTGTGAGCAATTCAGGTTTAGGTTTTGTTTTGTTTTTTTTGTTTTTTTTTAAAAAGTTTGTTCTTCATTTGTCTGCCTGAGACGAAATGGAATCATTTTCCCCGAAGAAGCTTCTCGCACTGCATTTCCAAAATATCCTCGCCACGTGAAACATTGACATGTTAATGTATTTGTCTCTGTGTTTCCCAGTCCGGTCTTCAGGGACCCACGGACTGTCCATGTTTTTGCTTACTCTCAGCTCACGGAAGCTGGGAGGGAGCGAAAATGTGGATTGTCTGACAGGGAGCTCAGGGGGAGCGAAAATGTGGGTCACGAGGTCCCTGAGGACCAGATTGGGAAACGCTGCCATAGGCTGAGTGTTCAGTGCTGAGTGAGAGTGCATCCATGTCTCCTGGCCTGGTCTCCGGAAGGGTCTTGGTACCGTCCGGTTGGCTCATAGTCTATGCCAGGTCTTGTCTTGTTTCCTGGCACTGCACGTAGCATCCTGATGATGGCATCAAGGAGCCGATTAATGAGACCAGCGGGTTTGTTGGTGTAATCGCCAGCCTTCTGTCAGTAGTGTGTAGGTTCACCTTCGGGGATCAGTCTTGACCATTATTTATGCTGTATAAGAAAACGATCGATCTAACAACCAAAATTAAAAAAAAATAAACTGAATGTGCACTCGGTTAAGAATCAAGCACCAAATGTTGTCTCTTGTACGTCAATCCAATAAAATCCAATGAAATATTGACATTTGCACCATATGTTTTCTCTTTTTAAAAAGGTCCATTTTTCTGTCGCCTGTCAGCTGTGAAGTTCCCCATTTTTTCCCCCCCTGTTTTGTAAGATTGAGCATGAACCTGCAAAATAAATTGCCTTTCGTGACAGATATTCCAGAGCTTCCAGTTTCTGGGGGCTCAGTGGGCTTGTAGGTGACAAAGGTAGCGATGGTTCTCTGCCTGGGGGCTTGAACTGGAAGGGACAGGAAAGCAAAATCTTACTCCATCTTGTGCTGCATTTACAGGTTCATCGGGGCAGGATTGATCGCCATATATGGCGTGAGTGGAATCCTTCACTGCGTTTAATTATAAATATATTTTTTGAATCCGTGTGGGAGTCTGGATCACACTCGGGTTGGCTGCTAGCTCAGTATCTTCCACACGTTTGTCAGGTCTGCATGAACAGCTGATCATGTGTGTGCGCTGTGTCGCGTGGAAGCGGCGTTCACGGCCCTGGCTCGTGCGGAAGCATGACGGTGACTGGTTCACACTCCCGGCTCTGTGTGTGCGTGCGCGTGCGCGTTCTTCCTGTGCCCATGCGACTATCCGCAGTGCAGTTAGATGAGTTGGTGTCTCAGAATTGTCCACGGTGCATGTATGTCGCAGAGTGGACTGACATCCCATCGTGAGGATGACCGCTCCAAGCTCCAGGTTATGGAATATGGGACGAAGAGCTTACTAAGCAATTTCTGAAAGGACTTTTATTACTGGGCTTATTACACAACATCCAGGCAAATCTTGATATGTTCTCATAAGTTTTCGTTGTTAACTGATGAAACGGATCGCAGACAACTGCTGCTGGGGTGGCCTAGATGTTTGTCACGAGTGGGTTCTTCTGTCCTCCTTCCTCCCCTCGCACCACCTGCTCCGCCTCTGTGGGAGGCGGAGCAGAAGTAAATAAATAAAGGTTCCCCCCTTTCCCTGTTTGTCAGCCTGGCCGCGCAACAGATGGTGATGCTCCTCACGAATCAGACAACGTTCGCGGGCACCGGCGACGCGCGTCACGTCACCGTTTAGTGTGTCGCGATTTAGATCTGGACGTCTTTCGGGGGGGGGGGAATGTGCGGACTTGCTGGCAGAGAGAAGCAGGCCGGAGACGAGCCCTCGAACCCGGGCTGCCGGCGTGGCGGCGCCGTGTCTTGCTTTCTGCCTGATGTCTCCGCACACCATCTGTTCGGGGCGGCGGTGCGCCTGTGGCAGCCAGCCAGGCCGTCTCGTGTGACCATGGGGAGAAGCGTCCATGGCTGACAGCGCAGATGTCCACAGCGGCGCCGGGGATGGGCCCCCTCCCACCGGCTCGTACCTTTGTCCCGGCGGTCTGATGTCTGTGAATCGACGCGTCCTCCGCCTTTTAGAGATTAAATCTGTCAGACCACTGTTTGGGAAACTCCATGCTTCGTTGATGCTGCATTAAGCGGGGAATCTGTTCTGGGAACAGTGGCAGCAGTGAGTCAGGTCATTGTGGTGCGATCATTAATTTATGTTTAATAAAGAGGTTTTAAAATAATATTTAGAAAGGAACCTTGTGAGAGTGTGAATCGCGCCATGGTTGACAGAGCTGTGGCTGTACCCTGTGTCTGCGCAGCTGAGGCGCCTCAATGTCCCCGTGTCTGTGCCCCTTGTGTCTGCGCAGCTGAAGAATCTGAGCTTCGAGGAGCTGCAGATGCGGCTGAGTGCGCTGGATCCCATGATGGAGCGGGAGATCGAGGAGCTGCGCCAGCGCTACACGGCTAAGCGCCAGCCCATCCTGGACGCCATGGACGCCAAGAAGCGGCGCCAGCAGAACTTCTGAGGGCCATCCGGAGGGGGTGGGGGGGGGCCCTCCCCACACCAGTACCCCACGGATCTCTGAAGCCCGATCCCTGGGAGTGCCACTCCCATTTATTCTGAGCCTCTGTGTAATTATACAAACCACTCCTCTGATCTGGGAGCCCTGCCCATCGCATGGGCATGAATGCCTGTGGGCGCCATTTCTTCTTTATCCTGCCCCCCCTGCTCCTGGGTCATGCTCGGTTTCCCTTCTCCACCGGTGATCCCAAAGCCCTGTCGCACGGTAGAGGTCATTCACACCAGTACCATGTCTGTCCCCCTGGATCCTCCTCGCCCTTTTTGTCCCTTGTGAGGCACACTACCTGACTTAGCTCACCAACACTGCTGCACGCCCTTACGGAAGCCCCCTTCCAGCACCCCTGAACCCCCACACACACAATCGCTCTGGTTTTAATGCACATGTGGTTCCTCGTTTCCATTGTACAATCTGCCTGTCTGTCACTACCAGCGTTTCTGGGTGATATGAAGCATAGCTGTTAATAATTATGCTAATATACTATATTTGTTATTTAAGAGAGGGATAGAATATGAAGTGTTTAGGGGGCCTTACCCCCGTTTGTGTTGGTTTTTTTTTTACGTTACCATTAGGTTTGAATTCCCCCCCCCCTCCATCATCTTTCACTGAGGTTTGAATAGATGTGAAAGAGTTGGACTCCAGAATGTTTGAAACCAAAGAGACTCTACTGAAGGATGCATGTTACCATGGTGATGCAAGATGGATTGGGTGCCTTAAGAAGGTCTGAAGTTCAGTCTGTGGTCATCAAAAGCACAGCAGGTCAAGGATCATCGGGTGAAATGTGTTTAGAACGGTCCAAAAAAACATGCAATATTGAGTTTTGGAAAATATTTGGTGCATTTAGTCTGATTACGATTTCTCAGCACCTTTTGGGGACCAACTGAAAGGTGAAAAGTTGAATAAGGACAAGTATTTGTTTCCGGCGTGTTTCTGACCATTCAAGGATGTTTTTATGTGCTTAATAAACCCTAATTTACATTTGCTAAAAAGCAAGTTTTCTCCAGTACTTATAATGTTACGAATGTCTCGAATATGTTAGAGTATGACTTTGATTCCTGTGTTTTGTCCCGAGGCCTGCGAGTGCATCCTTAGCCAGCGCTTTTCTAGAAACTTCCACGCTCCTACGATTTTTACCGCCCTTGTTTTTCAGTAGATCCATGCTTTCAGTCGCGTTACTACGCTGAGGAAACCCGCATTAGTTACTGAAGGCTGTGTGGCCCTGTGCCGTCATATGAGATCCTTCTACATGAAGAAACCCATGTTAAAATGTCAGCGTAACTATTCCTGAAATGTTTCAGCTTGCAGTCTAATTCTTCCCCAGTTTTTAACAGCCAACGGTACCAGTACTGAGGATGAAGGCGGAGTTGGTTCTGTCTGAGATGTGATTAGCTTATCATTATAAGCTGGATGCTGAACTGTCAAACAGGCTCATCGGGTGCAACCAGATGGAGGCATGAAGCTGCATTTTGGTCACGAGCTGTTGCCTTCATGTTGCTATATTTAGCGAGACAGTTTAAGGCTGGAAACAAGCAGACTTTATTGAAAAGCCAGTTGAAAAAAAAACTGACACTGAATCTTCCCGGATAGACATGGAGCTGCACTTTTTTTATTTATTGATATTTTTCTTAGCTCAGGGGATAAAGTACTGCTTTGAAGTTCTCGTATTTTGTTCTTTGTCGATTTATGTTGTAAACGTTTTCTTTTTTAGCCAAAGCTTATCATTTGGTGTGTCCTGAAGCTTTTCGGGTGTGTTGCCCGTTGTTCAGTCGTTCAGAAGTCCACACAAAACAAACTGTTTATTTACAGGAAGCGTTGCGTCCGTCTTTCCTGGCTGAACCTGAACCTGCAGTGTTTGGGTCGGGCCGTGAGACGCACTTAGCAATAAGATGCCGGATTTTAAATGAACGCGCAGTAGGAAGACCTGTGCTATCATCTTAAATGCATAAAAATGGCATCGGCGGTGTCGCAGCCGCTGCACTAATGCCTAGCTCCGCTCGACTGCACTCCACTGGGGCGCCAGCAGTCGCATTTAAGGCGCAGCGATTCCTTCGGCCATGCGGCCAATCTGGTCACAGAATTTAAATGCGAGTGACATATCGACGGGCTCGTAATGTCAAATGAAATTGGTTTTCCTGTCTTAGAAATAAAGACTTTAGCTGTAAGACCGATTTACATACGTGAAGATAAATGATTACTGGCAGGACGGTCCTTGGTCACTTGGATTAACATGCTAAAGGAAATAGTGCTTAAAGTGATCTTTCAGATTTACGACTCATAGAGTGACATTTAACTGCCCCCCCCCCCTTTCATACTTTAAAGGGGATCACAGATCCCTGCTGCAATTATGTCAGCTTCCTGTATATTGCCATTGTTAATCTGTTTGTACTTAAACATGGAATTCTGTCTCATTAGGCTTCTAGACATTTTCTCTGTTGGTTGAATCTTGTTAATGCCAAGTTTGCCTGCTACAGTGAAGGTGTAACGTGAATCAGCCATCAAGCCGGAGAGGGCAGAATGCGTGTTTCTCAGAGGCGATGATAGTGCCCCCCCCCCCCCCCCCCGTCCTGATTCTCAGAAGCAGTGAAGGAGTTTTTCATTTGACTTCTAATCAGCAGTGACTCTAAATCAGGACCGAAAACCTGTTTCTGTCTCAGGGGTGTTTAACAACAACAACAAAAAAATGTTTTATTTTATGATTCCTGGTTACCTGCGTGTAAAAATGAAGAAAATTCAGCCTGAAGATGATCCTGTTTTTCTGGATTCAGCCCATTTAAGATTAAAATGCAAAAGCTAGTATGCCACTTTCACAGCCGTTATTATTTTGGGGTTTTAAGGTGTAGCCAGACTGCTCCTCCCTGCGTCAGTTCTGCCGGTTGTAAATAGCTACTTTTGTTTTTTGAAAACTGCCGACTAGATGCACTGACAGGCCGTGGGAATTTTTGGAACAGATTTGTAACCTTGTACTGAACATGCATAACTTATTTTATGAAATGTATTTTCCTACGAAGCACATTAAAACCATAGCCCAGCTGACAGATGCCTCTGTGCCTTTCTTGGTCTTGGGTAGGAAAAGTGTCTCCCAGGCCATTAGCGGTTGATTTCAGTTCCATTCTGCGATTGATGTTTTGTGGGCGAACTGATGGATTTGATCTCTGAACACATCTCTGGGTTATAGGGTCTCGGTGAAGGACGGACTCTACGCAGGCAGTTGAATGAAGCCCTGTTCCAGAGCTGACCAGTAACACCAGTATCCATGCACTTTCAAGTCCTTGCCCGTTTGTCTTTTCGAGCTGCCTATAGCTTGATCTCGTTAAACTAGTTCATTCATTTCACTTCCTCCCTAAGAGGAAAACTGGTGAATTTGTGCCTCACTTCCCTAATACATTTATAGAGATGTGGAAATTTATAGAGATGTGGAACTCTCAAGTCCAGGAAGTACAAATCCAGACTAAGATTTTGTTTCAACCAGCTAGTTGAGTACTCTGTGACTGTGACTCTTTACGCTCGGCTGGTTGGTTGGAAACGAAATGTTGGTCTGGATTTGAACTTTCTGAACCTGAACTTTCCACCTCTGTCTGTACTTTCTGACCACTTAGACACGATCATATCTGCCTGCCATTCTTTTGCCAGTTTACTGCAGCATTTGTTAAATTATTGAAACGTTTCTTCTACATTTTAATAGTTATAAAACATGACAAATCACATTCAAAAATATAGTATTTTGATACACATACATGCACACACATACATATAACCAGACGTTACGTGTTATTACACAGCAAATTGATGGTGTTAATTCAACACTTTATATTAGTCAGCTTGGTGGTCAGTTAACGCTGCCAGTCTGTTTAAAATTTACCACATATTGTGTAACATTTTCTTTTTGAAAATAAATCATATTAATCTGTCCAAGGACAGGCTTCTTCCATATAGATGTTTTCCCAAAACAGTGTAAGTTTTTTTTTTTTTTATGTCTCGATACAGCATTCAAACATCAAACTCCTTGCCAGGAGAAACGTTTCACGGACACATGGAAGCTGATGTCAAGTGAAAACCCAGAATGGCAAATGCTCATGTACACATCAACACGCATCACTTCCTGTGTAACGGCACACCAGTTCATCGCCACCGTGCAAAGGGGCGGTGTGAGAGTAAAGTTACCAGTGCACGGTGGTTCTTTTGGGGGGGCACCAGCAGGACAAGCACACTGGGAAGGCTAACTGTGACTGGAACACAAACTAACGTGTGATGGTTAATTACCCAACCCGCTAACACTGTACCAGACAACTCTTCATGCAATGCTTTAGCAGTATATAACATCGATGGTAATTATTCGTACATGTTTTCCCTATTTAGAGGCAGAGTAATGTAATTCTGTTTTCCTTGCTTCATTTTATAGGTTCCCTTTAATTTATGGACTCGTTTAGGCTGTGTTCACTGGGAGAGCTCCTGCTCATGTTAGATAAGCTCGCCATCAGGGATTTCACCTTGTGCGCGTAATAGTTTCGCAGATTGACCGACGGGACCTCCTTGATCCCCTCGTCGAAATCGCAGCTCCTCATGGCGATCTCCAGTTGCTTCTGTCTTTTGTAGAACTGCGAGAATTTGTTAAATATGAGTGTGATCGGAAGCACGACTACCAAAATGCCGGCCAGGATACAGGCTGACGCAGTCAGCTTTCCCGCTATCGATCCTGGGACCACGTCTCCGTAGCCCACAGTGGTCATGCTCACGGTCGCCCACCACCAGCAGGCTGGGATGGTGGTCAGACTTTCGTTGTCCTCTTTCTCGATGGTGTAGACCATAACGGAGAAGAACGAGACACCCACAGCCAGGTAGAGCATCAAAAGGCCGACCTCTTTGTAGCTGTTCTTCAGCGTGGCCCCAAGGGACCGGAGCCCCGTGGAATGACGGGCCAGTTTAAGGATTCGGAAGATCCTCATTAGCCTCAGCACCTGGGCGACACGCCCTAAGTTGGTCAGAGCCGGGCTGCTCTCTGCCACCATGTTTATGACGAGGGTCAGGTAGAAGGGCAAGATTGACACCAGGTCGATGAGGTTCAGCGGGTGCTCGAAGAAATGCAACAAGTCTGGAGCCACCACAAACCGGGCGATCAGTTCGAAGGTGAACCAGCCTATTCCAAAATGCTCTATGGTCTCGAACCGTGGGTCCTCGAGTGGCTGGCCCTGGCTGTCATGCAGTGTGAACTCCGTCATGCTGTTCATGCACATGGTGGCAATGGAGCCCAGCACGACGAGGATGGATAAGATGCTGATTATCCGGCTGGCGATAGAGTACCCAGGATTGTCCAACATCAGCCAGACCCTCCGTCTCACACTCCCAAGCGGCTGTTTGTCGAACTTCGTGGCGTCGGTGTAAAAGTCTAAAATTTCATCAAAGGAAGAAGCCGTGCTTCCTTCCTCGCTTTTCTCATCCCAGTCTTCTCGGCCGGGTTCCATCTTCCTGCAGTGATATGCATTGCTGCAACAAGAGTCGATGAAGAACTCATTGATGCCCCAGTACTCTATTTCTTGACTGAAGGAAAAAATGCACAGTTCTGCCATGACGTGAAGCCGACCCGTATTGTAAAAATTCAAGACGTAGGGAAACAGCGCCGGATTTCTGTCGAAGTAAAACTCTTTCTCCATGTCGTCGTAATCGTCGCACAATTCTAAGATTGATTCCTTGGACTGGCATCGCAACAAACGAGCCAGTCGCGTCTCCGGGAATCGAGACAGCATATTAGACAGGAGTCTTTTCTTGAATCCTCCGACGTTTATGCGTATCGCATTGTCCTCAAAATGAGACCCGTTCAGCTCCTCTAGGCTCTGTCCTGTCATGCTGAGAGTGCGCTATTCAGATACGAAGGTAACAGGTCCTGCTTAAAAAAAAAGACAAAACTGTATTATTGAAATCTTTTGGTTTTTAACATCAAATAACTGTTTCTAATGTGGTGCATATGTAAATGAAGGCGGAACGTGATATCGATACATGAAATAATGCCCTTTGTAAAATTGTTTCATTTTATGCCTCCCTTACCTTGACCAATAATATGCGAAAATAATGTTTCTATGCATTGTTACAAATGACATTGAGTAGAATATAAAGTATTCTTTTAAAATGAATGTCGTTTGTATATAACGATGTTCTCTTTTTTGTTTATATTTTTTGTATGAGTTTTTAATACAGGCTTGTAATACACGGTTTTCGATACTGCCTATAATATAGATTTTAAATGGCTTTGCGATTACAGCGTTTAATATTTGTACTTTGAGCGAATATGAAAAATGTTTAAAAATTAAAGCGTGGATAGTGAAAATGTTGCGCAAGTTGAGGAGGGACACGCCAAAGTGCACACTTACTGGATATGATGATCGTGTCACGGTCCTCCTGTATGTAGCCAGCCTGCCACCTCCATGGGCTCCCGGGGAACTTGTGGATTCGTCGGGTCGCCTTGTCTCTGACTCCAGGTTACGGTGAAAAGGTAACGCCTGATGTCCGCGTAGGCTATACACGCACATGAAGGGGTTTCCCGGCAGCCAACGCGATGCCTGTTTCCAGCCAAGATTCCCCCCGGTGCCCTTTTTGGTTATTACCCTCTCACACCGTCAAACGACATTCGCCATGACCGAGAAGCCGCAGGCACCCGGCGTAACGCGATCCCCGGGGGTCCGTCACCGGGGGAGTTCCTGGAATCCCGGCCGGGTTCGGTGTGCCGCTGCGCCGTAACACGTACTATCTTCGGGCGTGAGAGTGGCACCTCCGCGGTGCTGAAAAGGACAGCTCCGACCCAGCAGTCACGAAATACCTCTGCATGGGAGAAGAGGCGTGTGCCATCATCCACCCAAATACGGTGACGGACCATCCCTAGTCAAATACAAAGAAAACAGACAGCATTAATATTGGACACGCAAAAGATAAAAATGACATATATATGTGCATTTTTCACCTTCAGCATGACGTTCCCTATTAAACTGTTATTTTATAGCTGTGTACCGTGCGCCATATGTGACAGATTATAATAGCCATATCTAATTCATTAGGTGGCTGTGCGATCACAGTTCAGCAGCTTTATGCGTCGCGGTAAAGTTGTTTTCTCGGAGCGGATGGCAATAAACATGCTTAACGATGTTTAATTCGTTCATTTGCGCCTCGCCTTGGGTACAGTTATGAACACCTTGCATAATGATTGTATAATCTAACCAATGCTTTATTATTGCCATATAGGGGCAGCGTTCGCCTACTGATAGCTTGGTACCATGCAAACTATGTGTCTTAGTTTATTCAGTGTTATTTAGATGAAATTGTTGCATTTGCTTTGATACTGTGGCGACGAGCTGTAACCACGATTTACTAGAATGAGCTATAATCACCAACTAGATATTATAATCAAACAAACAAATAGTGCATTTTTTAACGAAATTAATTTCAACTCTCTGTTCTTCTGTGATATATCTGTGTTAAACTGTGCCATTGGTTGCTAATGAAAATCTAATGCTGAATTTTACGAGTAAATGTGATTTATGGATCTAGACACCAGCTGCTCTGTGGCATATTACATTAAGGAAGGAATGAGTTAACACAGTGTGACTGAGTTCAGGGATTTTCTCGTTTTTGTTAACGATAAACATGATAATAGGCCTAAACGTTTAGTTTTATTTTTAGTCTTGGATTGGTGTTGGTATGTTGTTGTTTTACGTAGGATTTGATTCAAAGTGAAAAAAGATAATCTGTAAAAACAGCTGAGTTCCCTCGGGGTGTGAGCCACTGACCTTCACGTCACATGGCCCTAACCACTGCATTATCCATTGTCCTGTGTTTTAATAGCCTCAAAGGACGATTGCTGTAATTACACAACAAGGCACCTTTGTAAATCCATTGTGTTTGCTAGCAGGGATCGTATTAGAAATCAATATCTGAGAATTAGCTTCTTGTAGCCCTAAATGCAGAAGCTGTTTGACACTTGGGGCTCGCTGTGCCTTTTGCATCCTCACGGCACGCCCTGTTACCGGCATACCGTCACTGATGATCTATGAGTGCCTGCTACAGCATCTTACCATACTGCCACGGCATCTCGTGACTTGGCCAGGCAGCGACTCCTCTTCGCGGCTGCGGCTGCGCACGTGAATATGTACGAGGCTTAATGTTTGTCACAAGTTTGACATTCATCATAATTGGACGACACCGACAGTCCTGGTCAGGAACTGTGAAGCCCTCGCTGAACATCTCACATCAGGCGTATCTGGGAAACAGCTACCCAGTCAGGACTCTCCTCGGGACTCCAGTGACGGTCTCCTTGCAGTTAAGGGAGGACACTTTTTTTGCTAACTTTCATTTCACAAAATGAAGAAAATACCCTCGAGATACATCTGCTATGGTTAGGAGGGGTGGTGACTTCCTTCTGTGGCACCTTGTGAGGCGACTGCACCTTTTAATCGTTTTTTTAAAGTTTTGCACATGTAAATTTGAGACCTGGCTTCTAAATGGGTTTTACAGTGTAACTAATTTAGCTTATTAGTACTGCAAGGCAACTGTAGCTATATGTTCATCGCTTCATCTTGCTGTTTTTTTTTAGGATTGCTCTAGCTTGTTTTTTTGGTTTTTTTTTTTGTGATATATCTTCCCTTAAATACTAGGCTATTTATACTATTTGCTGCTAGCTGATCTGCGGATGTTGACATCAGGTTTTTCGTTATTGTGAGCTGTTTTTCCCTTTACCTTCTAATAATAAATATGATAAACTCTAATTATTATAATGTGTCAGTGGTTTGTGTGGTATGTGCCCATTTTGTTTAGTCATCTCAAGTTAGTCATAAGTCCGGTTTTTTGATAATAATTTATTTACCTCTCTCTCTCGTGTCCAGGCATCGTCAGCGCTGATCTAATGCTTGTCACTCGACCTAAGAGCTCGGCATCCCTGCCTGAGCTTCAGATTCGTTCTTTCTTCATTCGCTGAAATAACCCCTACAGTTTTTGTAGTGAATCTCTCGACTCCATTGTATCTGAAAACAAGCCACATATTAAGCTTTTCTTTGCCAGCCTGATATCTGCAGCATGCGATCCTCGGAGTGCTAATCATGCATGATTAAGCAGTAATGATGGCATCTACGTTTACGCTTGTGAAATCTTTTGTAAGTTGAACTGATATGGGGTTTATTATGCTGATCCCTTGCCTTATTTTTTTGGTGCCGCGCCAGAGTTTGTGTTTGATTGCATGCTTGGTTTATCTGCAGCCTTCAGGAGGACACATTGGGCACTGTTCCTTCATTAAATGTACTCTCCCCTGTCTTTTGCTTTGACACCAGTGGGATAATGTACCTTAAAGTGGAATTACTGAAGCTTGTCATCAGCTTGGATAGCAGACGCTGTCCCTGTTTCCTGATGTCTACACACTGCGGCAACTTTCATTTCTGGAAATTGGCTCCTACGTTCCGATTGCAGAATGAATCGAAAATTGCTTGGAGTCAAACTGCTCAATGTTTTAAATTCATTTTCCTGGGGAAATTATTGCAACATGTTAAACATGCCAGTCAAAATTCTTTGCCTGCATAGTTATGGAATGGGAAGTTTCCAGTGGTTCAGGAAATCACAGCCCTGTGCTTCATGCTTGCCGGGAAACAGCGACAGTGCCTCCGACTTACGTAATGGTTCATATTCTTCAAGGAGGGGGGGTTCATAAACCAATGTCATAAATCCAGCTGTTAAACCAGGCTCTGTGAGGGGGCTATTGATCAGGGAGGATATTAAATGCGCTGTGCGCTGGGATCATCGATACGGAAAATGTCGGACACGCCCTTAAGCCAGGGGGAGTATAAAGGCTGTTCAGCCCTACAGAGTCACGGTGCTTTAACGGCGTGATGTATTTCTGTACCTAAGGTATTTACCCCTGAACATTCTTTATAAATTATGTATTTGAAAACTCAGCAGGGGGTCATAAATTTAAGTCAAAGCCTCTTTTGCTCCTTAACTCAGTTTCCAGAAGCATGGTTTAGAAGATTTAGGGTGTTTGAAATAATGCAGATTTAGATACCAAAATAAATTGGGGATGGAAGTACCGTTCCAGAACAAGCAGGAGAACGCATCAAGCTCTCTCTTTAATTTCCTCCCATCTCCTCGAGTAATTTTCCTTGACTTGCCCTTTTTGCCCGTGATTGCATCTCCTGCCAAAAGGTCTGGATTGCCGGCTAAGTCCCTGTTCGGCAGCTCATTAGATGTGAGACGAGAGACCTGTAGGACCTTGACCGCTTCCAGGATGGGTGTCTCTGCACACTCCACGGGCCTCAGGTGTGGGCACAGATGAGATGGTGTCGATGCACGAACGTGGATCTCTAAAAGGAGGCTACATCCATCAGATTTAATGACTGACATCAGGTCGTCACCCCCAGCCCACAATCACAGGAGTTCAGGCCCAGTGTGAGCTATGACTGGGCTGTTAGACGTCAAACCGGCAGATATATGAATGCCGTTCCTGAAAGGTCATCATACATTGAGAATCTGCTGATCGCTCACACCGGGCAGGTCTGTGGGATGCTACCCCTGAATGCAAACTGAAGCACGTCACCAGAATTTTTCTGTGAAAGTCAAGGTTCTGCCGTCAGTGAGAAAAGCGAGCAATAAATCTGAAGCTATCGAATAAAATAGCGACTTTGAGCACTTTTCATCACCAACAGCCTGCACTGGGTAAGTGGCCATGGAATTGCATCACACGTCCAGGCTTGTGGGTTCAAATTCTGCCCCTGCTCTGCGGATGTAGAGTCGGCTCTTTCTCCCACTGCCCAAAGACATGGTGTCAGGCTAATTGGCATCTCTAAACTGCCCGTAGTATATATAGGCTGTGTGATGGGCTGCCATTCTGCCCAGGTGTACTGCCAGCTCGTGCCTTCTGCTGCCCTCTACGCGCTCCTGCCACACAAACTGCATGCAGACGATTATATATTAATTATATAGTTCTTCACCCGTCCAACTGACGCCTGGAAGAATTTAGATAAAAATACAGATTCATCCTTCCACAGATAAAGCACTATTTCACAAGCTGCTGACAGGCAGAATCACAGTGTATCTGTTTCTATACAGATATAGAGTTCCGTTCTCTTTATATTTTAACCTTATAGCCACTCATAAGATATTGATATGAGTATGAATCATAAGGCTCCCTCTTGACTCTGATGTTTTTCCGTAAATGACCACCAGATGGCGATACCAAAATGTTGTTTATTGTCTTCCAAACCTCAGACCTGTATTTTGCTTTGCGGCAAATTTCGCATGATTTTATTTTTCAAACAGTTCAAATGATGTCTTTGCTGAAACGTTTCACTTCAAACCTATTCCAACATATATTTATATTTTAAGCACCAAGTTATATGTGAACGTTACCTATGATCACTCTTGGTTTTATTAATCATAATTACTACCTTGATCTCTATCTTGACCTCGCTGAAATGTCCTTCCAGCTTTTGCTTTTTATCCTAGCGTCCACCCGGTTGCCTCCTTGCATCTTTATTCCCTTTGTCCTCCATGCCTTTCAACAGATGTTACAGCACTTAGAAAACAACACAATGCTTCCATTATAAGGAACCTGTTTTCTTATGTCCTTGACCAGTGAAGTTGTTACATTCACCCAATGTTTTTAAAAATCTTTGCGACCCAGTATAACGATCCAAATCCACTCAACGTAATCGACTTTGTGACTCACGACAATGATTCGGTTATGTCAGCTTAGTTCTTCCCCTTGCAATTCAGCTCGATCCCTGGGTTGTCTTTGTTGCCATCACAGAACAAATTAAGTTTTTTCCCCATTAACGTGATCATCAGCAGCTCATCTAAAGTCTCCGAGCAGCTCAGGAACCCGCTGCTATGTGGGTCTTCGTATGCATAAATTAAAATGGCTCATTGGAACAATTTAGATTCTCTGCATCTCATCATACCATCTTCGAAGCAATTACCCCGCTCCAGAGATCTCACCAGCTCATAATGCTCATACAAAATGGGATATTTGGCACAAAAAGATCTAATTACTCAGACAGTATCAGTCACAGTCTACCTTGTTACAGTGCAAATATTCAGACTTTGCAGCATGAGCACTGAAGTGTCTTTGAAAGTTTTCCATGACCATTATGGCTCGACGTTGCTGCCTCTTTATTCTGTCGGCTATTGGATAACAGGGGCCACGTGGGGGAACTGCGAGATAATGGAAGTATAAGGCATGTGAGTCACCCAGAGCGTGCTGTGCTCTACACCGCGTGGAGATGTTCCTTACTGATTTTCCCCTGTTGTAGCATAAATCACGTACATTACACTACCTTTCCTGGATAAACATTAAGACTTCATATAAAATAAGGTAAAAATCAAGAAAATTGAGTTGGTCATGCAAGATAGCATAATATATAAAGTTTGTAATACATACATAATATAGATCGGCTCCAGATGTAGTGCCATCCATTATAACAATAAGAAACACCTGTCCATCCATGGTGACCCTTGTGCCTAACCCAAGAAGCACTGTACGGGTGACACCATGGATGGGATGCCTGATCATCAGAGAACACGTTCCAGCAGCTTCAGGGGCATCATCTCACACATCCAGGGCCAGGAATCAAGTCCACTACCCCAGTAGTATGAGGCTGCAGCACTGGCCACTGAACTTCCCTACTTACCATAACTGTATTTAACAATAACAGTTTTACGTGACACTGCAGTTTCCCAGCATATGGAATATCTGTACATATGCTGCTTGGGGATCTGCTGACCAGGACAAGTGGTTAGATGATAAATGGGTGGATGGATGACATTGTACAGTTATATCCAAAAAAATTTGCTACAATTATTGGCACCCGCATGCTGAGTGCTTTGTGGAAAGTCCATAAATGAATTCTGTGGAGAACACATTTATTGGTTTTATATCTTGGTGAAAAAGGAGAAATTCCTGCTCCTTAAGCCTAAAATGAGCATAAAAAAATAGAATTTTCTGTAGATAAAATTTCATTTCATTATCTTTAGGGGTGCAATTAATTTTAATATGTTTTGATATAAATACACTTTTCTCTGGCCAATTGCATTAGAAGAATACAGTATACAAGATGTATACAAGAATATAGTTTTTCCATATATTTGAGCACCTGAGGGCCTACCTAAGAAAAGTAGTTAGAAGATGAATGGATGGGTGTATCTCAGCGTAAAACTACTGTTATTTTGTATTTCGTGACCTTAACTGGCGAGGTATTTTCAGCATTTGGGGAAAGACGTCCCTTTCTATTTAACAATGACAAAGTAACATACAAAACAATCACGTTATATCACATTAAAGTGACATATTCAGTTTATTACTTACGCCACCCTACGCTACACTTGTCAATAATACGTAGTATCGCCTGATCGCATCTTGAAGGCAAACTTCAGTGTATCCGTCCGGGGCGCCACACCCCAGCCGGACGTGCTGCCTGCACATTTTCACCTGTTTGCACCCTCTGGCAGGAGGGCCAAACGCACAGGAAGTCAAAGGGGAGGTCGTTGTATTAACCAAGACATGCTTTGCCGTCTTCAATAAGGGACAAAAACCGGAACAATTAAGGATGTCTGCTTGGTGAAGAAGTGGCCGCGACTCCACGATCTCCGGGAGAAATGGCGAACGCGACGTGGGAGCGTCTGTTTGCTCAGACGCCGGTAAAAAGCACGACGCAGCCTCCTGAAATCAGCGATCGCGCATATAAGGTACCGCACTGTCCTTATAGAGTTTTTTTCCCACCAAATCAATGATGCATTTGTTAAGGCGAAAAGCCTTGTTATATATTATAATGGCCTATAATTAATATTAAAACACCACAGAGGAGCTGGTTCGTAAGTCCTTGTAAATGTCTGTATATTTAAACTTGATACTGATTTCTTGTTTTGTACTTTTCCTACTTAATGCGATCAATGGGAACAGGTGTACTTTCTGGACACCTTGTGTTGTAGCCGTTACATAAACGCAGACCCCAGTAATATCAAACAAAAAACGAACAAATTAGCTATTTTAAAAATTAGCTATTTTATTAGCTACCATAACTTTTTGTTTTGTTTGCAAGTTTTTATGAACTCTATGATCAATCTGATTAAATTCACAGATCCGTTGTTGATCACACATTTTTTTAACTACAGCGTACGTCATTTACCTCATTAACAGTGAGCCTTACGTTTTTATTGATTACCCGTCTGAAATGAAGCCAAATGCGCCAAACAACTTGCGCTAGTTTAACGAACCAGTCTGAACTGTCATGAACATGTGGTATGTAAACATTGCCTGATCATTATGAAAGATTCTTAAGTTCCTCTTCAAACTTTGTATAGAGGAATAACTTACTGTATAATATAAACTTTATATTCATGAATATAAACCGTTATTCTAATATTTAAATTACTTAAAGGTATAGTACATATAACCTTTAAAATTTGGAGTTCACAGCATGTTACCAGCGATTCAAAGTCTACGGATCCTTTGAAGGAAGGGATTTATTTATTATGCACTGATAGACCTTACATACTGAAGTGCTGAAATTGTAGTAATGAGACTGCGATTCCCTGAGAATGATGCAGAGCAACGGCTGCATGACTGTGTGACTTAATTCCTGAGCAATATTTTATAACTTTTTTTTTTTTTAAATCTATGAGAAGATTAATGTTAATGAAAAAGATGGGCTGCGGGAAACGTGACAGGATTCCGGCGTAACGCTGAGCGGAGGGTCTCAGATCATTATCTGCACGCAGGTGGATAATGATCCAAAAATCACAGTTTTACAGTTCAGCCTTTGCGAAAGATCACTTGGAAATGTACTCTGCTCTTCAAGAGATCATGAGAAACCGGTAACCTAAAACATAAAGCATGAAATAATTGCGGAGAAAAAACGTCAGCTAAGTGAAACCTTTCTTAATTATGTTGCTTATGGGATACAGTCCAAATTCCTGGGATTATCTTCCAGAAATAACGGAGTGCTTCCTGGTTTGGCAGGAAGAGTATCTGAGCTCAAACAGCGGACCTCTGAATTTCTCTAGATGTTAAAGAAATTGGCCATCAGTTTTGCAATATAACTGTCGCATCATTATATATTGCTGTAATTTATACTTTTTTCTGTCCCGTCCTTCTGTTCCTCTGCTTGTGGTTGAATGAATAAAAACGTTTTCATTCAATTTCATTTTGCAGCAGTAAGAACTGATAGCCGTGTAGATGTTCAGAACCAAGAGTATCAAATATCTTGTTAGCCTCCCACCAGTACTTTGGGAAAGGGCAGAGATTGCTCATAATCTTTGAGGTAGAAATCTTGACTTGGGCAAAGTGTGTGTTTTTCAGAGGGGAACACATCCAGCCCTAGAACAAGGGTTTAAACTTTCAGCGAAATACCCTGCAGAGTGAATGTTCTCTGATTTCTGAAGTATGTAACTGGTTGTTTCTTTGAAGCTCTCTTGCTGGACTGTGGAGACGGCATCTCCGTGGCCATGGTGAACAGCCTCTTAGCTTCACCTGGGATCAGTTGGCGAGGTTTTGCATTGTACATTCTGGAATTATATGAAATAGTTGCGTGGTTTGTCTTCGCCAGCGTGGATTTCATACTTAAAGTTCCAGAATGTAGTATGTCACCAAGAGCAGAGAGTCTCGAACCCCAAACCAATGGGCGTATGGAACAAAGATACAATGAGCTGGAGCTTTGAGAATGGCTGCTCTGTGGTGACCTGCAGCTGCTGGTTCTGATTCAGCCTAACATCCCACCCTTCGTGCCCCCCCCCTCATCAATGCCTTGCCCCATTCCAGCAACAGATTACCATTGTCACTCAGTACAAAAGGACACCCTGTCCCCCATCCGTCCGCAGATAGGAGGCTGACTTCTTCCTACTAGCTTTCAGTCTTATTCCCCAAGTCTTCTGGAGCCCTGAAAAACCGCGTACAATGGAAAGACCTTGGTACCTTTTCTGAACCGTTTCATTTGTGGTGCTTGAAAATCTTCAGATATAAAGATCTTTGAAATATCATGCTTCCTCGAATATTACCAATAGCAATCCTTTGAGGTCACTGGGGGGGATTTTGATTTGAATCTCTGTCCTTGTAATTTCACCTCCAGCCTGCCAAATGACATCTTATTACTTGACTCTATTTTATTATCTGCTTAATATACTAATACATATTTCATTTTCGGACTGCCCAGATAGTTTGTAGCATTGTACCTTATCCAAATATCTCGTTTGACTTTACTTGTTTGAACTCTGTGTTGCTGGTTGCTTCTCCTTCAGTGTTGATACTACATTAACATTTATGTTATTTTTGTGATTTACTTTAACGTGACTGATCACACCAAAACAAACTCCTTGTTCTCGGACTGTACATGACGAATAAAGTTGACTCTGATACCCATGTGAATTAATAATATGTGAAATTTAAATGTTCTCCCAAAAGCTTTTTATTTAACCTAACCAACGTAATCAATGGCCACACTAAAAGACTGTGTTTATTTGCAATTTTATTTTTATTTTCTTGTAGCTCTTACTCATTCTCCAGTCCTCTTTACAGTGATACTGTTACTGTCAACCAGGTGCTTCAGGGTGTTTCATCTCATAAAGTGCGGAGACGCCGTATCGATACTCTGCTGGTTTCTGGATTTGGCACTGAAGCCAACGGTGGGAACCCAGCAGGAAAGAGTAGTGAAGTAGTAAGTCCAATTAACCACATGTGGTGTCCTGTTCACATACGAGGCGCGGTGAGCATGCAGGAGAGTGTTAATGTAAGGAGCAGCTGGAAGCTGCTGAAGATGCAGATGCAGACACAGGTCCTTCTCCTCAGCGACATGTCAGCCAAGGATCTCACCCAGGGGTAGGCAATGCTGATCCCTTGCAGAAGTGGAAAGTTCAGGTTCAGAAAGTAAATATCTTGATTTTGGTTCAACCACCCAGTTTTGTACTCTGTGCATGTGCCTTTATATTTATACGGTGGGTTGAAACAAAATCTTACTCTAGATTTGTGAATCTTACTCTGGATTTGTACTTTCTGAACCTGAACTTTCAACCCCTGGATCCTGAGGTGCTGGTATCCAGAAGGTTTTCTAACCTACCTTCTAGATAATGGCTCTTCTGGATTATGGTTGCCTACCCCCCCAACCAATGTAGAGCATCAGTCTGGTCAAATTTTGGGATTAGAACTGAATTCTCCTTCCTGGGCTACTTACTAGTCCATTAAAGTGGACTGAGTTTGATTCTTTTCAAATGAACTGTATGTGAAAACAGCCTAAATGATTCCAATTATTTACCTGACCTGCGTTTTGTCATTGCTTGTTAATTAGAAGGTGGGTCATGTGACATTTCAGTCAAATTTCCTGTCTCACGCAATCTGGAAGGAAGAATGGATCGGAAAAGGGAAGCTCTCTCTCTCCTGCCTCATTCAGAATGTAAGGAATGGATTCGCTTGTCACACTTGTGTCAGGACGTGAAACCCTTTGTTTGTTGCCATACAATGATTGAACTGAGCTGGAACCATTGTGACGTCAGTTACAAAGTACCAGTACAGACATACATACATGGGTGAGAGCCTGTATAATCACGGGTGTTTAATTCTGTGATTGTTTAGTGCTGTCTGAGCCATTGTGACTATAGGTGAACATGGGTATCAAACTGTATTCTTGGGTTCCAGCAGAGTATTAATGAGGTTTTATTTGATTATGAGGGGAAAAAAACACGATTTCAGCTTCGCAAATAATACGTAAAATGTTATACTTTAACTGGATTTAGTTCATTCTGCCTTCCAAATGTCTTCTTAAGCTATACCCAGTGCACAATTAATTTATTATGGAATCTAGACATTTAGAAATGTGTTGTTGCATAAATGGCAAATTAAAGAGCATTTTTTTGGGGGGTTGATATCAATTCAGTTACAAAGACCGCTCCAAGAAAGCTCTGAGGTATGATGTTTGGGTTAGTTATGGTTATGAGCCATATAAATTCAATCGTGGGTATTTAAGAAAAACAAGCACACACGAGGTTTAGAGCAAAACTTGAACGTGGATCTTTAAGTACGGTGAGTACGGATGTCTGGTGCTCTTCCTATAGCTGGAGGTAATGATGTCGGGGTTGGGAGACCTTCCAGCAGCTGTCTGTTAGGTGCGGCCAGATCTCATCTGCAGCTGGGAGGGTGGCTGGGCTGACTCTCCTCTGGACTGTGGTGCAGTAAGTGGAGCATCGGTAGGGCAGACCATCAGGAGCCGACAGCGCAGGCTTGACGTGCCAAGGTCATTGGCTGCTGTTTTGTCACATGCTCTTTCAGTTTTGTTTTATTTGGTATTACACCCACACACACACACACACACACACACACACCTTTTTAATGTCTTTTGCAGCAGTGGGTGACTCACGGTCCAAATCAATTGAGGTTATGCCCGTGTCAAAATTAGCAGCAGGTAGGTCTGCAGCCCTGAAAGCGGCTGTTTCTGCAATATGGGAACTGAAAGTCCATTTCAGACGTAGTCAGTCGCACCCAAATTTCCATTTTCCGAACCCACGGCTCTTATAGCTTCATGTCAGGTTTTAATAAATTCTTTTTTTCCCGGAGAAATATATATTTTTTATAAATTCTGGCAGCGTGGCGCCGTATGGGGTTTGTAGCCCTGGCTGAGGTTAAGTCCGAATTAAAATGGTCCGTTAGAATTTAGCAGGAAATTCCAAAACGGGAATTCCCTCAGCTGCGTCCTTCAAATATTCTGCTGTGACAGTTTAATGAATCTGGGCCTGCTTGCTGCAGAATGCTCCTGCTTCCCCTCTTCTGTGGAAATTTTGTAATTCTATGATTGACTTATCTGAATGTTTCCAGGATGGTTTCTATGACTGAAAGAAAAATATGTATTTTTTTACAAACAATGAGAAAATGATGAAAATGTTAGTTACTGATGCTGATAATTATCATAATTTTTTAAACATGGTCAGTTGGCCAGAAAAACCACTTGAACTGTTTTCAGATATTTCTATTTTCCACAATTATCTATGATAGTTTATTAAAGTTTTGAATTGTGTTGGTCATCTTGGTGTGGAGTGGCGGGCGGATTCCTCCCTGCGGGGCTGGATTCTGGCCGTTGTGCTGACACTCTGTGCTGACACTCTGTGCTGACACTCTGTGCTGACACTCTGTGCTGACACTCTGTGCTGACACTCTGTGCTGGGCTGTGGCGTGTCTTGGTTTCCCGAAGCCCTGCTTACTCAGCCCCTTTCCCCAAACTGACAGGAGCTGTGTGCTCCTTCTTCTCCTTGATATGACTGTTGTCGGCTGGTCCACGCCTGCGAAATGCCTTGCCTGTATATTGTTGCTTTGCCCGCCGTGTGGTGGACTGGCATCCTGTCCTGACCATTTCCCAACCTTTGCCCTATGTTGCCTGGGAAAGGCTCTAGGCCAGTCGTGACCCGTTGATAGATAGATAGATGGATGGATGGCTGGATTCAGTGTTGCTTATTGGGTGCTTTTAACCACACAACCAATGACATGACCGTGTTTTTACAGTTTGGTGTTGAGCAGAAGTCATCAGATGATGAGGCCACTTCAGGAGATATATGACTGAGGCGTCTTTCCTGTGATTCGAACCTTGTTTCTATTCCCCCATAGTCATGTTTCTTCAGCACTATGACCAAATGCAGCTTCAGTGTTGAATTTCTTTAGGTGTTAACTGCTCCAGACTTGGTTTTGCTCCATTAAACCCTGAACCCCGTCTCTGTGAAAAGACATTGGGTCTCCACACGTTCGTCCCGAGAAACGTTGACTCTGCTCTTTCGTCACGCCGTTGCACGTGCGCCGCAGCTCCTGTCGTTAATCCTGATATTCAGGTCCTTAGCGGTAATGTCAGAGATGGTGGGTTTTCTCATAGAGCATGTATCCTCTGTCCGGGTCTATCGGTACAGTGTTTGTCTTCACGTTTATTTTTATATTTGCTAAAATTTTAAAGCAGATGTATGTAAACCTTGGCAGCGTGGACAGAATAACCGGGTTTTTCTGTGTCTCTGTATTATTCTCATAGTCACAACCATATTCGTCAGTTTTTGCATTACATGAGCTGGTTGTACATTAACTTATGCCAGCATTAATAGGCCTATCACAATAACAATTTCTCTTGGATGATATATTGTCCCAGAAATAGTTGTGATAAACGATATTATTTTAAGTTCATTTTATGCCACTGATATAATATTACCATAATGATACAAGAACACCGTTTCAAAGAGCAACAAGCTTTTAATTCTTAAGGATATTCAGACTTTGGAATTAGAATATCCTAAATAAATCTAACTTAAATAAAGCTACACAACCAAAAAAAAAAAAACAAAACATAAAATGGGCTCTCAGGCTCTGTTAACTAAAATTTCATTATATATATATAACATTTGGCAGTGGGGTATAGAGACTCATTCGTTCCTTTACAATATGCTGCCAGACCAGAGGTTCTGCTCAGCGACGTGAACCTCAGTCGTTCATTGGCCGGGGGAAGGAAACGGGAACTCAGACCGAATATTTTATATAAATACCTTTTCTACCCTCTGTGATCAGAATGATGGCAGAAATGGCTCGCGCAATTGAAGAATGGTTGGTTTTATTAGTTTTTATTTTATATATGTTAATCTGTTTAGTTGTTATATATCTTACTTTAGGTTTTACTGTGTTTGTTTCTAGTGATAGATGGAAAGTTGTAGGATTCTGCAATAGGATGTTGTTTGCTGTTTCCATGATTCTTGTTAATTGCACGAGAGGGCCAAAGATATACAAATTATTACTTTGGATAAATAGTAAAATGGGGTGGTCAGATTGTCAGTTGTCCAAGATTTCTGGGAAGGAGATAGTTATAAAATAACGGACCCTGTTCCCTCCTGTGTAGATACCTTCTGTATGATGCATGTGACACACATTTTGATGTCATTCCATAATCCCTGCATCCAGTCACTGGTTCCCGTGACTGAAAGCCGAACCGGTTTGTGAAGTGAAGCCTTCAAAGATGTCAAGCTGCATTTGAAAGTTTCTTAGCTTTTCCCCTTTTATACAGCAGGATATTTTTACTGGAGTAATTCAGGGTAAGTATCTCGCTCCAGGGTACAACAGCACACCCCCTGTAAGGCTTCCTGCGTGACTCATCACCCTGCCTGATGTTCCCAGCTGGTCGGGTAGCAAAGTTGAGCTGTTTGTCACTGGCTGTGCCGCCGATGCTGCATCGGGAGTCCCGGAAAGATTTAGTGACACCAGTGAAGAGTAAAAATAATCACCAGCAGCCTGCTTTTGTGTTGCAGACGTACCTCATTGGAATCGTCATCGCAATATGTGGGAACTTCCTAATCAGCATCTCATTAAATATTCAGGTAAGACAACCAAGTGACACCTAAACGTTTATTTAAGTACCAGTTTATTCAGGAATTTTGTTTGACTATTTGGAGTTTATGACTGGAGGGATGGATTTGCTTACATCTGTGGGTTTTGGGTGACATGGGGGGGGGAGCATTTATTGATGCTATATCGCTCCTCCCTTAGAAATACACACACATGCGACAGGCCCAGAGTGGCTCCAAGCCCTACTACACCAGCTCCCTCTGGTGGTGTGGCATCGCCCTCATGGGCATTGGTGAACTGGGCAATTTCGCCGCCTACGGCTTTGCACCGGCCTCCCTCATCGCCCCGCTAGGCTGCGTGTCCGTCATCGGTAAGGCCCCGCCCTCCGTTGGCCACGCCCTGCTCCTCCACCCTGTATGCTGTTTGTTTAGGGCCCGGTCAGGGAGTGGAGGAACAGTAGAGCTGCCACAGCACCTGTCTCACACAAACCCTTCATGTGCAGGTTAAATATTTAACAGAGCCGGTTTCTTCGCTTCTGTTTACTCTGCGATGTCTGAAGTGATATGCAAGGTCGTTTTAGCTGCACGCGTTTCCCTTTCAGAGGTGTGGAAGACTCACTTCACACTTGGCCTCTTACTATTGTGTCTGCTTTGGTAGTTTTGCTAACTTAGTTGGCATTAGAACTAGTGTGATGTTCTTGTTTAGTGTCTCCTTTGTTTGCCTGCTTGCTTGGGGAACCCCGTTGAGTTTTGTTAACGCTTCCCATTGGTGGCCCTACCTGTACGGTCTGGAGCCCTGTTTCCTGTCGACGTGGTTGAGCCCGCAGTGGGACCTTTGCCGTAGGCTTGGGGAATATCTTGTTTTTCATACTGGCACAACTAGGGTTGGGTATCGTTCGTGTTTTTTTCCGATACTGGTGTTTTAAAAGTGTACCGATGCCTAAATGCTGCCTAAACTGGTACTTTAAACAAATAAAGCACAAAACGAAGGTCAACAACATTAAGAAACGTCTTTTTTTGTTTCTGTCATATGCCAATTGTTTGTAAACATTTGTTGCACATCCAGGTGTTGGGATCTTTATGAGTGAGATGCAGCCACACTTTAGACCATTTAGATTTTAGTCTTTTAACGGTCATTACAGTAGCTGCTAGCTAATGGTAGGCATCTGCTGATGTCAGAGCAAGTGTAACGTTAAGTAGCAAAGGTACGTGATGTGCAGCGATGCTTCTGTTGCCTGAGCATCAAAGGGCAAATATTTCAACTGGCAGCTCATCAGAGAATGAGGCCCCAAAATTTGTATTGAAATACGATTCGGTACATACTGATCATATAAGAACTATTAATCAACCGATAGCTTAGGCCGGAATTTCATCTTGCGTGCATGTAGACCAACCAGAAGAATGAGGGTCAGGTGCTTCCTTCCGCCAGATCAGCTGTCAACGTTGACGGATATGAAATAAGGACTCGCTGGAGAAACCCAGTCAGTAATATGGGTACGGTCCGGTTTTCTGTGCCGTCTGGCCATCCATGTGTGGTTGACAGGCGATGTAAGCTGACCAGCACTTTCCTTTGATAGCTCACCATCTTTATGCATCCCAGTCACAGATCTAATGAATTTTAATGCCTGATTGGTTGTTAAAATACAGATGTGAAATAAAATCTTTGCAACTAAAAGTCAAATAAACAGGCTTGACCTTAGCAAGCTTATTAGCCTCTGCTGGGACGCGGCCGTAGTGATTAAATTCTGCCTCTGAGGGTTAGATGTTAGACGTTACCTCCTTCCCAGTGGTGCTGCTTGTGTGTGTGTTTTTGACGATAGACTTGCCACGGAGTTGCTATGGTTACGTGCCGGCTTTGCGTGCCCTGAAGGGAGAGAGGAGTTTTTATGCAAAATTAACTTGCTGAGGGAGCGTCGCCTTTTCTCGTGCAGCTGTTTGCATTATGACTATACTGATGGCGTGACACGTTTCCGTGTGACCCACCTGGCCTTTAAAAGCCCCGGGTTTTTCAGCTCTAATACCCCGAGGTGCGTTTCAGGCCGTCGGGGCCCGTGTGCTGCAGCCACTCTGTGACCTACATTCCTCGCTTGGCTGGGCCCTGTCTCCTCACACGTTGCATTACGGTTTCATCACAGCTCCCGGTGATTAAATCTCCTCCCTCAGATGTGTTTGATTATTGCTCGAGGGACCAGTGTTTGGGCTCCAACTCTTATTTGGCCACATATACAAGCTTGGCTTTGGATTCTGCTACATACCTTCCGAGTTCATGGGTCCTCAAGTGTGCAGCATCCCTCAGCTTACTGGCCCAAGGGCCCAACCACTGCATTCTACCGGTCCTGGGGTTTGAACCAGCAACCTTCCGATTTACAGGTGCAGAGTCCTAACTGGCTGAGCCACACCCCGTGTTAGCTGTGCCCCGTTAGGTTTATGTGTTGGTACATAAGGGTCACCCCCGGGATCCCGACTCCCCAGTCAGCACCTCCCAGCCCTGCTGCTCTCGCTCACCGCATACACGGTGTCTTTCAGTAAGACGGAAACCGTTACCAGGGCAAAATTAAACCCAACACATGGTTTTGTCCTGTGACGTGCATAGGAGTCTGACACGGTGAGTTTTTTAGAAGTGGTGCATCACGCTGTAGCATGAAATGGAATGACATTGTTCATGAATTTCTTTTTCTTGTGTTACTGGGTAAAATCCTGCTTGTTGTGGTCATCAAAATTGCCTGAATTTGTTGGGGTCTATTAGTGTGATTTCTCTAGATCTGAGTATTCTGAGTTCTCGCTCTGCACCAGAGTCCCGCGTTGCTGAAAACCTCACTCACTGATCCCATTTCTCCCTGATCTGGGTTCTGAGGCTGACGTGCAGGTTTGTCTCCCTGCTGATGGGCCTGTGTCTGGGCGTCACACCCGTCGTCATGCACGTCACCGGAGAGATTTTCCATGGCTCGGTCTGACCCGCACCTGTGTTCCTTTCTGCAGCCAGTGCGGTGATCTCTGTGGTGTTCCTGAAGGAAACGCTGCGTGCCTCTGACATCCTGGGTGAGCTCTCTGTTCTGGCACCATCAGAACAGACAATGACAGCAGATCTAAACTTTGTGATAAGGGAGATTATGGGGTCTTTGATGGTCTCAGAGGGGATTCTGTAAAACTGTGGGCTGTTCAAAAACAACCCTGTGTTCTGATGTCACTTTCATTTCCCCTTACTGTCCACAGGGGGAGCCCTGGCCGTCACTGGGACATACCTGCTGGTGACCTTTGCCCCCCACACAGTCCAGCACATCACCGCGCATCTGATCCAGATGTACGCCGTCAGCTGGCAGTTCCTCGTCTACCTGGTGGGGGCTCTCCCTGGGAGGGGGGGGGGGGGTTAGCAGTACCACGGTGATGGTTCCATTCTGGTCCAGTCTGGTCCAGTCCAATCACACACACACTGATCAGCCATAACACTGAAACCACCTGCCTCATGTTGTGTTGGTCCCTCTTGCGTTGCTAAAACAGCTCTGACTTATCGAGACATGGACTCCTCAAGATCTCTGAAGGTGTCCCATGGTATCTGGTACCAAGATGCTAGCAGCAGATCCTGTAAGTCTTGTAAGTCGTGAGGTGGAGCTTCCCTGGAACGGATTTGTTTGTCCAGCACATCCCACAGATGCTCAGTTGGATTGAGATCTGGGGTATTAGGAGGCCAAGTCAACACCTTGAACTTCATGATCCTCAAACCATTCCTGGGGAGTTTTTACAGTGTGGCAGGGTGCATCATCCTGCTGAAAGAGGCCACCGCCATCGGGGAATACCATAGCCATGAAGGGGTCTGCAACAATGCTCAGGGAAGTGGTACGTCTCAAAGTAACATCCATATGAATGCCAGGACCCAAGGTTTCCTAGCAGAGCGTTGCCCAGAGCATCTCACTGCCTCCACCGGCTTGCCTTCTTCCCATCCCAGTGCCATCTTTTCTCATGACGCTCGTGCACCGGGCCGTCCACATGGTGCAACGGAAACACAACTCATCACACCAGGCCACCTTCTTCCATTGCTCCATGGTCCAGTTCTGACGTTCACATGCCTACTGTAGGTGCTGTTCGCAGTAGACGGGGGCCAGCCTGGACACTCTGACCGGTCTGTGGCTACGCAGCCTCATACGCAGCACACTGCGACGCACTGTCTGTTCTGACGCCTTTCCATCCAGGCTATTCTGGGTTCTGAAACTGACATGCATGAAAAAGCCAGCAATTTGTGCTTCCATATCTCTCCTGTGGGATCGGACCAGATGGGCTGTGGTTTTAATGTTATGGCTGGTCGGCGTGAGCCATCTCCTTCTGGCAGTTCTGCAGCGACACTGTTCAGTACAGCCTCTTGTCTTAGGTAGCCCAGAGGGTGTAGCTTAGCTTAGCATCTCTTAGGTTAAAGTATAGAGGTGGTTTTGGATCCCTGCATGGTATCTTTAATTAGTTACTGATACCCAGTACATCAGATGGGTCGGGTCTCCCTGCACAGCCTGAGACATTTGTTCAAGGTCAGTACAGGGGGCGTCAAGGTGTGTCGGACGTTAGCTTTGAGCAGCCTGATATGCAGTCCTGCAGTCTGTGCCCTCCGTCTGTCCTGCTCCCTGAAGGGTTGGGCCAGGATGGCTGAACAGCGCCCCCTACTGGTGAATGTATCAGGTTTCTTTTAAACGCCATAAATGCTCACTGAAATCATTGCCGGGACGTGAAGCGGCCTTCGTCCACGCCTGAGTGCATTCTTTTCATTTCTGAATCTGTTATTTTATTTTCTGAAAGGTTGATGAGAACGAACCCCGTCTCCGTCCTGCACCGCTGCAGGGTCCTTTGTTTGTGAGCAGGTTCATCACCCAAGAAGCAGAGAAGGAAAATGAAAAAGATTATTAATCTCCTCAGAAAGAAATTGATTCGGGGTCTTGGCGGAGGGGGGTGTGCGAGAACCCACACCAGCCCACTGTGTCCGATACAGGCTGTTGTCTGCGATGCCCCAGCGGGGAGACGGTCTCCGGATTCTGAGTCGTGTGTTTTGTGCTTTATTAGATTTGTGTTCACAGCTGGGTTGTAGCAGTATAAACATGAAACAATGTACCTTTGTATATATCTGTTTATTTATTCTTATATTCTCCCCTAACTCAGCCAGCGCAGTTTGTCTTAATTAAAGGACGCTACTAGTCTACAGTCTCGCTCGCTAAACACGCGGAGCGATCCTTCCTTATTGCTTTCACACCTCCAGGTATACGTGTAACAGATGTGTAAACGAGCCCTAATGAAGCAGGAGAGATGAGCTCCGTACGTGGCGCTTGGGGGGGGGGGGGGGTCATTGGTAACCTGTAATTCTGCCTGACTTCCGCTGCCAGGGCCTGGAGATCGTGTTGTTTTGCGTGCTGCTGTACCTGTACAAGAGGAGGAACATCAAGCACGTGGTGGTGCTGCTTCTCCTGGTGGCTCTCCTGGGTAAGGCAGCCAGCAGGCAGGTATCTGGTCACCAACCCCCCCCCCTGTAGGAAGCGCTTAATGCCAGGTCCGGTGCAGCATTGCACAGTTAGCATAGCCGCAGTCTGCATTAGGTTGCATGTAAATATGTTTTAATCATATATTCCCATCCAGGGTATATATATATATGCTGTCTGGGATAGGCTCCAGCCTCCCCCCCCCATGGCTGTTGAAAGTGGAGGGAAAATGTGTATAATCTTTACTTGAAATTACGCACCCAAAAATGACAGGCAGCCAGATGTGCATTTCCGTCCCGCCTCTGGTGGTGAGTGGCCATTACCGTGAGAGTGACTGTCACCTCCCCCCCCCGACCCCGTGGCAGCCTCCCAGACCGTCATCTCAGTGAAAGCCGTGTCCGGGATGATCGCCGAGTCAGTGGAGGGGAACATGCAGCTCACATTCCCCATCTTCTACGTTATGATCGTGGTGATGGTGGCCTCCTGTGGATTCCAGATCAAGTGAGTCCCACCCCCTGCCCCCGCAGCCCTTCATATTGCTTCATGTTTGCTTCATATTGGAGCAGTGTTTCCCAGTCCGGCCCTCATGGACGCACGGCCAGTCCACGTTTTTGCTCCCTGGATCAAATCCCCGAGGACCGGATTGGGAGACCCTGATTATTAGACGAACGGAAAGGTTTCATTCCTGTAGTTCCTGACGTTGAGGTTTTTCCCTGCACCTTGTCACCCGTAATTAAAATCTACAAAAGCAAGAATAATTACATCGCTGCGAATGGTTAACTGAACCATTATATCATGCGGCCATTATACACGTTTGTCATTCGCTAGACGCTTTCAGATAATCTGCAATTAGTAAGCTGACAGTCTAGTTAGGTTTGTTTTACCGCATTGCCAGACTTGCATTTGTGTCATACTGCCTGTACGCGGTGCTCGAACCCGGAGCCCTACCGCTGGTGATCTGTTTGTCCCCCCCCCCCC